GAAATCCAGAAACACATGGTATCAAAGATATGATGCCACATATCTTCTATTCTCTCTTCCTCCACCATCTCTGAAGTATTTTGGGTCCTTCAATATTTAACTGATTATAATGAATTGGACTTAGCTCTGGGTAGGGATGGGGGCTTGTGGTCCATTTATTCATTCAACCATCCTGGATTGATTCTCCTGTGTCCCAGACATGTTCTTGATGTTGGGATCTATTGGTAGACAAAACACATGCCCTCATGGAACCACAACCATGGAGCCTCTCCTGGGAGGAGGGAGACAAGCATGAATAAATATGTGAGATAATGGAGGGATAGGGATAATGAAAACAAAAACTTAAAAGGGTAGGGGAGATCAAGACTGCCAGGGAAAGGAGGCTTTGCTGCTTCATATAGGGTGCACAGGGAAAGTAACTCTGAGACAGTGACTTTAAGCACAGACCCAAGGGAGGAGAGGGAGTGAGCCAGGCTGCTCTCGGGGGGGAGTGCATTTCAGGCAGTGGACACAGCTGGTGCAAAGGTCCTGGGGTGGAAGCATGCTTGCATGTCTGAAGGATTAGTGAGGACACCAGCAGGGTGTGTGACCAAGGAGAGGGGTGGAATTTGATCAGAGCCCTTATGGGTGGTCATGTCTTGTAGCCATGTAGGCCACAGGGAGTCAAGTTTTTCAAGAGAGATGGGAGCCATTGGAGTGTAGGGGTGACATGAGCTGCCTCACATTTTAGCAGAATTGTTCCTGTTGGTAATTGACCACACAGTGGCTACAGGAGTTGTGCCAATTAGTGTAGACACGGGCACAGGCATGATGCCCAGAAGATCCTACTGACACTAATCTGGATAGAAATTCTCCTAGAGTTAGGTTTAATCCACTAAAACTGTTTGAGAACCTACTATGAACACAGCCCTGTACCAACTACTAGCGATGTATGAAAAAGACATGATGCTGGTTTGAATTAAAGAATATTCACTCATGAAGGGGAACTTTCTTCATGCCCAGTATTTGGAGCTAGGGAAGCAGTAGAGTGAAGGAACCCATGTACTTATTGTACTTATCATAACTGAGGAAATACATTCTCAACAGCTTTCACCCAAAGGAATGCCTAGGAATGAGCCACACCGTCTCTTCATTATTCCACCCAAGTTTACACACCATCCAGATATGTATACTCTACTCTTTCATCTCGTCCCTGAGCTCACCTCCCCTACCTCTCCCTTCTTCCATTCTTTTTCAGCCACACTGGCCCTCTTATTGTTCCTGCAACACACCAAGCAAACACTGCCTCAGGGCCTTTGCACGTGCTGCTCCCCCAAGACTATGCTGGATTCATGTGCTGCTTTTCAGCAAGGCCTGCCTTGACTGTCACCTTATTTAAATTGCATTCTCAGCACTCTTCATCCCTCTTCCCTAGTGCACTTTTTCTCTAAACCACTCACCCTTATCTGTTGTATTCACTTAGTTATTTTGATTATTTTGAATTCTAACCTGCCTGAGATACAAGTACTTGCATTTACATGTATGCTTGGGGGATCTTTTCTGCTCAGAGTTTCCAATGAGCTCTTAGTAGCCCTTAGGGAATTTGACACAAATTTAAAGTCCAAGGTTAGAAAATGTGACACACGCCTTATCTTCGCAAACTGGAAGTGAGGTAGACCTTCCTTCTCCAGGAGTTTGATCTGTGACTGGAAAGATCAGAAGTAAGATGGTATGGCTGCAGTATGTGACAGCATCAAACAATACCCTTTAGTGTGGCTAAGTTTTACATCTCAGAACCATGCCATTATTACCCTCTGTGCTCCAAAAGCTCCTTTCATTACAAAAAGACATGGCTCTTTAAACAAAATCATGGTAAAATAGGAATCAGTGCAGCTTTGAGAATGAACCTGGTAGTTGTTGTTATATGCAAGGCATAATGTCCTTTTACTACTCAAATAGAATTCAATAATTATTGAAGATTTGATGGATGTTTAAAAATAGCCCTATTAGTAATACTCAACACTCACAGAGAACTTTAATGGGCCAGACACAGTTATAAGCACCTTACAAATAAATATTATCCCACTGAATCCTCACAACTCTATAGAAGTAGGTACTATAATCATATGTGTTTTAGAGATGAAGGAACTGAGGCACACAGAGGTTAGGTTACTTGCCTAAAGTCACACAGACTGTAAGTGGAAGAGACAGGATCACATTTGAGGTCAGCTGCTTGCAGGACTGATGTTCTCTCCACCATGCCTCTTTCTGTGATGAAATTACAGAAAACAGTTCCTCCTCCCCAGTGAGCCAGATCTGCACATCCCACTTGTAGCCAGAAGGTTCTGAACCTCAGATCCAGGGACCCAGGGGTCCAGGCTCAGACTCACTCCCAGTGGGCAGTAGAACCTACATTTACTGAAGAGGGAAGTCAACTAAGTACAAGTGGAAAGATAATGATGACTCTGAAAATTTACAACTTGATAGCAGTGCTATCAGTTCCTTGTCTTTTGGTCTTCAGATTCCAAAGCCAGGGCTGAATGCATTTATTTTGTGATTGAATGATCTGAAACTAAGGAGGTGAACAGACTTACAAAAAATGAAACTCAGATCTCACAGATCTGTATGTTTCTCCATCCAAGGCAGAAGGAAACAAACCTGGATCCTGTTATCAAAATATTCACTATCTTGTCCCTGCAGTTACGAGGCTATGACATGTTAAATTAGCCACTGAAACAGTGGCAGTGAAGTCTATCCCTCCCCGCCATGAAGTTGGCAGGTCCCTTGCTGACTGCTGAAGGTTTGCAGTGCAAATGTAATGGGAATCCTTCACAGGGTGAAACTTAAA